GGTGGAGAGAACAAAGAGAGGCGAGAGAGCAGGAATCTCTCTTGCTCCTCGAGGACGACTTGTAGCTCCGGCGTCATCGTGCTCGTCGGGTCGCCGCGAGCCGAATTAACGGCACCGGAAATATGAAGCAACGTTGCACGCGCTTGGACGCATTATACGGATGGGAGAGAAACGCTCGCGTACGATTTTACCACCCACAATCACTTGCCAAAACATGCCTCTCCCGTGATCTCCGCGCTCCGTCAGGGCACCGGCCCCGAGACGCCGCACGTCAGATTATTTGAGATGGGTTCGCCCCGGGCGCTAAAGGAACCAATCGACGATCTTTCAGAGAAACATCGTCGGCATTTATGTTCGCGCGATCTTCGGAGATTACCTCTTTCCTTTTTAGCGAGATATAGATTTCCTGCGTTGAAAACTTGCAGAAAGTTTAAACTTTTATTGTTAATTTAAAAGATAAGCGCAGGATATATACAGTATTTTAAAATTGTCAGCTATAATTCTTGATTGATAATTAAATGCGATTTAATAATGTATATTGCCATATATACATATATATTACGGAAACTAGATATATTTTCTACGATAATAGTATTTATTCATAAAACTAAAAAAGTTTCAGTTTTTTTAAATGGTTTCCCTTGTATTCCACGAGTATCGCGAAAGAATATCTTATCACGCTTGCAAAATATATACGCAACATCCTGCAATACAAGACAGAGAACATGTGGAAACTTATGTTCGATGTCCTTGCGAATAAAGACGTCTGTTGTACACCCACGTTTCTCGCACATTCGCGTGTACTCGTTTTAAGCTCATAGTACATTCTTCGATCGTATTTAATCAGATCACCGACACACATCACAATACAAATGTTATAATATATGAACCTACTATCTTATAAGTATTCTTCTGATTTTTATTTTAAAGGTATAAATATCTTTTTTAAATTTAAAGTATAAATAATATTTTTAAATTAAAGTATATATAAAATTAACAATTTCATATTAAACAACTTTTATTTAAAAAAGTTTAACAGATATAAATTCGAATTTTTTTAATCAAAAACTTAACTTTATATCATTAACTTAATATTTTCTATCAAATATTATTTTGTAATAATATCATGTAACCATCTTGTTTTATTTTCAATTAATTGAGCACATAAATTCTAGAATAAGTTAAATTTTGATCGTTTACGCTTTTCAAATGAAATATTACAGCGCATTTAATAGATGTTAAATGGAATCTCATTTCTATTAAAACAAGTGAATGAATCAGTATCTATCTCGTGAACATACGTAACAAAATATAGATATGAGGAACTGGCAAAGCATAGAGAGAGAGAGAGTCCAGAATCGTCAAGAAAATAACAATGGGACGGCCGGCGCGTTGGATGCGAAGGTGGAGAGTTGACAACGTTGATGAATATAGTCGGGTGCAGCATAAATCGACCTGTGCACAGTCTTATGCACCACGAGTACAAGGAACCCGAGCCAGTGCTGCAGCTCGGAAGTCCTCACATCAGATTCGCGTTGCATGTGCTTATGTTTCAATTAACATCGCGTTTCACGTGAAATTGCTTAATTCAGCGCGCATGCGGCTAACGAGCCGCTATCAACGTGATTATCGTCGGTAACTAGCTCCCGTTTACGGAACAAACGTAATCAAATATGCGTGTTGTTCGTGGATGCCCATTAATTTTTTAAAGATAGTAACGTTAACAAACTATTTATACACGTATACTTAATTATAAAGTTATATTATTTAATTTTTAATGAAAACTATACGTTTATTAGTCATTTATACGTATCATAATTTAATAATTATACGATAAAATAACTCTCAATAATTGAATAATATTTGAATGATATATGTGTATAATTCATGTCTCTACGTTATTTGTTTTTATTAATTTTATTAATTTTCCAATCAGATAAATCAATTATTGAATAAACGCATTTGTTACCATGAATTCAGTTAGCCGGCCCCACTCGAGATGTGCAATTAACTACGTCAAATTTAAGATTCCGTCGCGAGCGAGCGTAATCACGTGTCGGTTTTTTTTTTCTCACGATTTCTCCTTTAATCGCCAACTATTAATCCTGCAGGCACAGCGCTGCGAAATAAGGAAACGTCGTTTACCTTCCGAATACCATTTTCGAACGGCGCGCATCGGCGCCTGCTATAAAGATATTTTTAGCATGCTCGCGGTGTTTCGTAGACACATTCGCGAGGACATCCTTGAGGCAAAGGATCAACACCTTCGATCTTCCGGATGCGCGAAAAACCAGAGATTCCGTCCGGCATAAGTCAACGTTACTATCTGATAAATTCCATCGATACGAGCATTGCGACCTCCGAAGGGTCGACTAAAGCTAAGTAAAATAAAGATCGAAGAGAGATCAAAGACAAAATAATCTCCACCTTCCTGATTTGCGTCCATGTCGGTTTAGTTTAGCTCGCTTGTCCCATCTCGTCGTCCCGTCCATCTCCGCGCTTTCGTCAAAGTTCAAGGATATCTAGGATATTAAGTGGCGCCTAGTTTTCACCTACTCCGTACCCTCTCCCCCTTACTTCATCTCTCTCTTTTTCTCTTTCTCCCTCATTTTGGCCGCGGCAGCGCCGGTAACCGATCCGATCCTATCAAGGATGCAGTTAATTACACGTCGCGCAACAGCCGAGCCACAAAGCCATCAGGACTCGCTCAAAGAGATCAACAAAAGAGTAGTATGCCGGGACCAGACGATAGGCTATTCGCATACCTGCCGGCTATTAACCGTTGATGCGAATCACCGTTTTATCCTCGAATTATACAAATCGGGCCGCGTCCTTTGTGCGGGCCGATCGACGACCGAGAAAGAAAAGCGAGACACTGGGTGATCGCGGAAGGTCGTGCTTTGACCCGCTCGGCCGGATGAACCGTTCAATATCGTTTCTCTTTATTAAGAAAATATCTCGTATATTTATTATGTCTCCCGTTCAGTCGAACAAGTAAATAGTATTTAATGCGACGCGACGTTGTTAAGAGCGCGCGCGTGTCACGTTTTTCGCGCGCTGCACTTACGAGAATGTTATTTTTAGTAGCGCTCATGCCGCGAGAAATAATCGCGTCGAATATCGCCGTGAAATGTCTATATTTCTCCGCGAACGCAAACACTTCCCAACCCTTGAGAGACATGATAATTAATACCTTCATTACCGTAATAATAAATAGTTTTTATATCTCATAAGAAATCGTCGCGTTAATTGCAGCACTCGAGCATTGCTTTTTCCTGATCGTATAATGCAGTTCTTACACATTAACCGATTATATAGTACTAACAATAAAAGATATATTTTGCATGCACATGATAACGGAGAGAGAAAGAGAAAGAATGAAAGGAAGAAAAAAAAATAAGAAGACGGAAGACGAGTAAGAGTATAGCGCACAATATTCGGTAAATCATTGGACGTTTACTGCAGTTAATTAGTCGACTGACCGGCCCCATCAGGCGGTTTTGCATATATCGTTTGAAGAAAAGCCACACGCGTGCGTGTGATGGCGCCGTGCAAAGGTTAATATGCGTCCTCATCTCACACGAGCAAAGTATTGGATGTTATCTTGAACATCGTAGAAATTTCGAGAATTTTATTAAGCCTCTTCCGACTACCTGACGATCATTAGATGAGGATTTTAATAATTGCGCTTTCTCTTTTTATATCGTAAAATCTTATATATATATATCGTGATCAATTAAGTAAAGAAATAAGATTATTCATATAACGTATATATTAATATTCTGTCATTATAGCTATATTTATATGTATTTTTTTATTAAACGTAAGAAGACAATTTTATAAAACCAAAAATATATTTTCTCTCTCTCCATCTCTATTTCCCTTTTAAATAATTTTTTAAATAAAAAATAAATATATTTTAAAAATGTAATATCTTGTTATAAACCTAAATATAAAACTCTGGAATTTAAATTCATTATCATAAACATGTATTATTAAAAGTTTTAATAAAAACGCATCTTTTTAATGATTAAAAAGAATTATTGAAAGGATGCTTAATGTCACTATATATTTTCTTACATCGCAGATGATATATAAACTTTTAAAGATGCGAAAATGTACGACTGAAAATAATTCCATTGTTTGAGAAACCGCATCTACGCAGCATATTAAACGCGGAAGTTGCATCATCGTTTGACAATAATTAGCTGAACAGAACAAAAATTGTCGTGATATCAGTCTCATCGTGCAAGGTAGATCGTAACTAAACTCATTACTCGATGCAATATGAACTAAGGTATTCCGGACACTGTAACACGATTCGCTATATAGCGCGTATTTTACGACTTAAATTAGCGGACGAAAAAATCGAGAGAGAAAGAGAGAGAAAGAAGCGATAAATTTCTGATGCGATACTCGCTCCTGATTTCTCGAACGTTCAGACATAAAAAACAGTACACACTGAACTTTCTTGTTAAATTAACACATGATTTGCAGACAGAATGATTAATCGGCCGTCACTTGCGCTATACGAATCTCATGTTGATCAATCACCGATCGCTACGAGATGGAGATAATAAACGTAAAATACAATCGGCATTAAGTTAAAGATTAATTTAAGCCGTACTAAAAAAGTTTATATGTTATATCTTGCCTTTAAATCGGTTAAATTACTTACGAAACCCATCACAGTTTGATGGAAAACCATTCTGTGTAAAAATAATTATTTCTTATAGTAGAAAAAATGATCTTTCTAGATTTTAGCCAGTTTAGAATATATTGCGATATAAAAAATTCTGAGATTAAACTATCGCAAGAAATTTGCAATGTTTTCAAAGACATATTCTAAACAGTGTTTTTGCGCGACTGACAATATCATTATATATATATATATATTCTTTAAGCCAATATAAATGTCTCATTCAGAGAATAAATAAAATAATATGCCGTATTGATTACAAAGGCATTCAGTATTTGAAATAACAGACAATTTTACTTACTCTTTAATTAAATCCATAGGCGGCACTTTTCTTCCTGGTATAGCAATCTTCTCGTATTTAACACCAGCATTTGTAAATTCCTAAAACAGAGACGTCAACAACATAAACAATCGCATGCATATTGTTACGTAACAAAAGCAGAATGTTCGCCGTCGCATGAAACAGAGATGCATTAATTGAGTACGAGAGAACTATAATTTGATCGGCTAAGCTATTGTCATGTTAAACCGCCCCGGAGTACTCATTAGCATCACTAATTATCACACATAAAACCGTCAATTACAAACAATGCGAGTAATCATATGTCTCTGAATGCGAGCACGTCATCTGAGTGTGATGTAAACCGAACGTCAGTAAACCGAAACAATTGATCGTTACAAAGCTTGCAAGGGCGGAAAGGAAATATACGACAGTAATCGACACGAATGAAAGCAAGATTCACAGTCATTCGCATCTCGGAAAATACTCCTTGGCACAAGTGTGTTCACCTGGAGGCAACACTGAATGTTACATATTCATAAATCTCTCTATTATCTATCCCTAATCAGTGTTCCTAAACCTGAAATGCACTATTAATAAATCTAAACGAGAAACAAATAAATAAAATGTAAAATAATGCTAAAATAAAAAATAAATTATCGCAAAAAATATACAAATAATATCTAAATAATCAAAATCAAATAATAATATAAAAATTAATGTGCACGTGTCGTATAATGTATTGACATTTACTGACTTTAGTTATTAAAAAAATATAACTTAACAAGAACAACGAGAATGTATAGTTCTAACTCGTTATGAACGATATCAGATAACAGTTACCACTAGTTTCTCCACCCTGATGACAGATCACGTCATAATAATCAATCTTTTTGACTTTGCTTTTAGCGAAATATTAGAAACTCAATCCTCGTGATCGTGCAGTATTGCTCTTAATGGTTATCTCGAAGCTATTTTCTTTTCTCCTTCCGTCAATAATGCACAAGAAATTCTTTCACACGCTCAGGAGCATCTCTAGTTTTTAATCTCAACAAAAGCAAAGTTAAGTTATAACAATTTAAACAAGACATTTAATCTTGAAAGTGTATATGTCACGATATTTCGTGATGAAAATTTTATTTATACATTCTTTAATATCTTTATATAGAAAAAACCTCATCACATATCTAATGCAGTTTATATATCCTATAGCATATCTAAAAAAAAAAAAAAATAAGGTATGAAAATCGGCGTGCATTATATACACAAAATTAAGAGAGTTAGAGCCACATCTGATACCGATGATAAAATCTTCATCGGGATATGCAAGATCCTTTGTCTTATAATCTTGTTTTCTCTCGTGACATCTACCACAAACAGGAAAATTAAAGGATCGGCTAAGCGCTTCATTATATATGTATAATGCGCTCTAATTAGGCGTGGGCGACACCGAAAGATCTCTCTGTTAATTATCGTTGCCCCGCAGCGCTATTGATGTTTACGGTGCGGCGTTTGTGTGTAATGTTTTTAAAACATATATCCCCTTAGTGAGATTCCCCTCGCGTGGCAAATGGCTGTCCAAACGTCGGCGAAGTCGGGACAAAAAGCAGAAGATGGAGCGACCGAACCGACTCTACGACTTATTAATATAATTGATCGGTCTTCGGTCCTGACAGCTCTGACCCAGAAAACACCGCGGACATATTCTCGCTTGCTCGACACACCGCCGGCTCAAACCAGCGATCAGTCAGCCAATCGAGAGTCGCTGGCAGCCGATTATTCCAAAAATCTAATAATAAGTTCATTAGCTCGCGGCTCCTCTACTCTCGCCACAAATTAGTTGGGCCGCTCTCGAGCATTCTTAAATCAAGAAACTGATCCCGATGCGATATTAATAAGTCGGAGCGAGAGTAAAGAAGGGCAGGTGAAGCGGAGGAGGAAAGAAAAATATGATAGACAAATGGAGATAATGCAGACAGTTAAACCGTAAAGTTCGAGGAGGAGAGAGAAGAGAATCTGTATATCAGCTCGCGATCAAGGAATGCAGCAGGTGACAGCTTGCGAGAGAGTGAAAAGAGAAGATGTTTCTTGTCTCGAGTTACTGAAAGGTAAGGAAGTACGTGCATAAACATAGCGAATTACGGCTTGAAATTCGAACGGTACGCAATATGTTTTCGCATTAACTTTGCGTGGCAATATCAGTATTATTTCATCAGACAATATTGCCTGCATATCACCCCTTTTTAATCGCATACAACGATCTCAATTTATTTACGTTATATGTTATATGTGTTATGCATTATCCAAAAATATTTATTTTAAAAGCAACGCAACTATCAATAGATTAATTACTGAAAATATAAAAATGTCACTATTGCTCACAAGTGGATAAACATTTGATTTTTATACACAACTATTTTTAAAAAACATTCAATAGTAATTTTAAAAAATTTCGGCTTTATCACTTACCTTTTTATCATAGTAGCGACACGTGTTTGTCAGATCGATGATATACTTGAGACGGGGAAACGATTCCAGCAATATTGTCGTCGTAAATCTGCAACAATGAATATGGCCAGATTATAATACGTGCTGAATGGTATTTCGATTTATCGATCGCTCGTAAAATCGTTGCGCTACTTGAATCGTAAAATATAAACATGACGTCTTCCTTCGCTCGCGTAGATGAGAGAAGATAGGAAGATCTAATCGACTGAGATGGCGTATACAGGGAGATGCCTTTCAAGGGGCGCGATCTATACGACTGAATGATATATTAAGGGAAGCGAAGAATCTAAGGTTCCAAGCAAAAGGGATCGGATTAGGCGGGGGTGTCGGCCCAAATAGTTTCACCATCCCTTTCGATATATCAAAACCTGAGAGACGTACCAGGTGCATGCATACGTGCGTGCGAGCATGCGTAGATACGGAAACGAGCCTGTTTCGAACCAACGATTCCCCATAAATAAACAACCCTCGTTCGTGTACGCGCGCTGAGATGTTATTAAAAAAAGCTCCCGGTGAAATTTATTGGGATACGAGTCGATTTAAAAGCTATTAACGGCGAGCTAATGTGATCCTTTAGATTTATGTAACTGACCAAGTGAGAAGTATCGCGTCTTCGAGGGCGCACCACTATAATCATTGCTATAATTTTTATGAATGACGCGATTTATCAACGAACGAGTGTACAACTATTTCTTTTTTTCTTCTTTCTTTCTTTTCGCGCATCGAGTTACCACGGCGCGACATCGCTCCGTCCATCTCGCTAATGTGCTTTAGTACGTTCATGCATCATCCCCTGTCTGCCAGGAGAGAAATTCTGCACCGTGATACAAACGCAAGTGCAGATATTTGCGGAATAAAAGAGAAGCAAGCGGCCATGGTGTTTACACGAGGTCTGTCTTATCCGAATGACAAGTCATGCCGATACTTACCGTTCCTGCGGCTGTAGATTCTTCGCTATAGCCTGAAACAAAAAGAAAACAACACTCATCACCGAGGAAACGCCACGAGAAATAATTAATAGCAAACTTAGCGGTAACCGCAACTACATAGTGCTTCGGAAGAAACTTTAAATAGCGTCTATGAACGACTTCATCTCCGTAATCCGTTAACCATCGCTGTATATCTACGTTTCATGGGACCTGCACAACACGCAAGTCATCTTCAATTTCTCGTTAATTAAACGAAATTAATTAAATAGCGCGAGCTTAATAGGCCGCACGAGACAATCGCGCGCCGTAATCGCGTATAGCTAACGAGTGATTGATTGACTCAAATCTCATGTCAGATAACGATATATGCCGGCGTCGATCAACACTCAGAGAAAAAGGCTTAAAGGCACGCTTCAGCCACAGGCATGATGATTCAGTTATAATACCAACACTCCTTGATGTATCGATAGCGAACATGCAATCTGCTAATTCCATCCCACATACATACCGTATCGTTATGACACGTACCTCTGTGAAGATGTGTAAAAACTATTTGTAACGATTAAATCGCAGAAAATTAAAAATTAAACACATACAGATATATAAAAAAAATATCCTAATAATATAAAATTGAATTAAGAATATGCCATTATATTATAGCGCATAATGCATATACGTTCATATTTTAAGATAACAAGTTGTATAGGATACGACAGAAGGTAAATTGAAATTTTCGTTAGTCGACTTGTAACATCGCACCCGCTATGGGTGGGCTAATGGTAATTACGGGTTTAGACGTTAGCTATCCGATTGGTTGGGCGGAGAGATCGTATCTACAGATGAGTATGGAATGAGTATCGGTCGCATTAATAATAACGGAGTATAACTTTCGTATCCGAACGTAATAATCCGACATTGACTAGGCGTGAGATCTTTTTCCTATCCTTTTGATAGTCGATCCTGTCGTATATTTCACGTTTTAAGATGTAATTTCGCAGTGTGTTTCACAATTAATGTTTCACAAATAATTTATAAAATGCTTATAAAAAATATGCGCAAACATTACATAATGTAAAAGATACATACGCTAAAAATGTACTATAAAAATACATTTTTTAATACATTAATAACTTCAAACAAATGCGATTTAATAAATATTCCTGTTTCACAGTTTAACGTGATACAATCTTTAAATCACGAAAAGTGGCAGTGATATTAATAATGTAGTAATTGCATGCAGTACTGCAATTACTACATTATTAATATTACTGCTACATGATGTAAGAATATAAGATCAGAAATTCAAAGAGAACAATGCTACGATGCAATCGTGACTGGCGCGAATGCCAGTGTGCGCCTCACCTTTGACGAGATTCACATATTTACGCTCCAAGTAAGGACAGAACGAGCGAAGTAAATGCAAGGATTTACGAGCCTGCTGGAGACAGGACATTCGCGGCACTCCTCGACGGAAAGACCGAGATCGGCAGCCCTGGAACGTGGACCACGACGAAGGAAGAAGAAAAAGAGAGAGAGAGAGGAGAAGATTGCAGGTAGCTTTTGCCCACCTGCGAAATTTAGTAACCCCGTTCGCGCATGAGAGGCAGTTTATTTTTCGCATAATATATTCCGTTCTTCGCGGTTGACAGCCGGATTGCTCTCTCCGCTGATTCCACCATTCAATTTCACGATCTTTAGTCTAATATATGGGCCCGTCTAAATCAGGATTATCGGCCGCGCCCGCATTGTGAATCTTCCTGACGGTTCGCACGAGTTCGTGCAGCATCCGTCGTGTGTCATTTTTCCGCACGTTGTATCCTTCAATTTTCATTTACATTCTTACCATATCCGTTAATATGTATAGCATTGAGCAATATTTTATTATAAATTAAAATATAAAAAAAGAATTATAAATTGTTTCAATTTCGAAAAAAAGAATTGAATAATATTTCTTTCTAACAGCTAAATTTCTTAAGAGGAATAATAGCAAAACAAATCTTTTTAAATAAAAAGTTTTAATAAAAATTAAAAAATTAAATATATAAAAATGTTTAATTCATATTAAATTTCAAAAGCACGAAATTCATTCATTCAATATATTTTTATTTGAACCTTTTAATATTTCTTCACATATATGAATCTAGATATGAATCTTAATATCTGAAAGTATTTAAAAAAACGCACGGTGGCAATTCAAAACAAGACTCACGCGCCGACAAATTTGGCTGGTCGAAAAACAACAAGGAAACAGATGTTAAATCATATTTCGTTTCGTGCCAACAACGTATCTCATATTAGCTACAACGTGTGCCAACATATGTGTATCTTCTCTTAAACAAAAAATGTTAATGTAACAAAAAAATTATAGAGAGATTCATCAATTGAAATAGATAAGAAAACATTGCATTTACCAAACAGCGTTTTGACATCCATGTCTCCACATATCAATATATATGTAACATAAATACACATCTGTGCCGGAGAATTTGCATACGTCATAAACGTTTATAAAAGTGAATATTGATCAAACGCGGTAAAAAGCTATCGAAAAAGTACGGCCTTTACGCGCGACGTAGGCGTTAACCAACGGTTAAAATTGGTGATATTTATTGGAAATATTTACGAGAGGGGTGAGCTTTCATGCCTTTGTATCGAGTGGATCATAATATTCCCAAGGTTCTCGCCTGGTCATTCGGAATCGACGGCGTAATCTCTGCAAAACTGGCGTGAGAACTTTGGCCAGAACGAGGAGTAGTCAAGAATTCAAATACGAGCTATTGACAGTATGATTAAAATTTTCCGAAAAGTAAAAACTATTAATTTTTTAAATAAAATATTAAAAATGATCATTGCTTACAATTACCCACAACAACACATATCTATTTTCTACAAAAATGTGAGAAGCTTTAAAAATGTTTAAATATTTCTTTCTACATTTAACTTTTCAAAAACTTATATAAAGAAAGTCATAATTATAAGTACCAATTACAATAACATTAATTATAATTAAAATATAATGACGTTAAGTATAATTAAAAATTATGTGCAAGTAGATTATATATATATATAATCTGTCCAAATAATTTTTTTATTATATCTTATTATGTTTTATTATTTTATATGCTCACATTTTTGTGATTTATGCAGCAAATTGGTTTATGTAGCACACTGAATAGCTCTTATAAGTATCTTTTCAATACGTACAATACGCGGTAATTTAGCGAAGCAAAATTTGCGTAATGCAAACTAGGGCGGCACAGCAGTTCAAAAGGCGAAGCAAACAATGGTAAGCAAAAAGAGGTGCTTTCGTACTAGAAATAAGCGAAACCTCATCAAATTCTACGTCACTACGTTACCGTATTTCCCATGAATTGCTCGTAACTTCTATTCTCCCGAATAGACGAGCGTGGAGAACGACCAGCAAAATAGCTCTTTGTCCGAAAAATTATTATTCCTTTTTACACGCTCATTGTCTTTTTTATTTAGCAAAATTATCCACAAAGATCGTCTTCATAAATAAGTATTATCAAAAACTTATTATTGACTAATCACATGCTAATTCAAATTAATGATCAGTATTAATAATTAAAATTACATAATTCTATGTTATTCAAAAGACTATTTCATGAAATCATCCAAAACTATAAATTTCTTTATTTTATATGTAAAGATTAATTAATTCTCATTAATTAAACTAGAGCAGAATCTTTTTATAACAGAGACTAACTTAAATTATAAAAAAGAGAAAGAAATCAATATGTGTGTGTCTCTACATAATATAATATTTATTTTAAATTTTTAAACTTTCTATTATCAGCAGTTGGGCAAGAAAAATTATCTTTAAAAATACACACGATTTCATAGATTTGCCGCGAATGAAATCATGCGCGAAACATACGAGAACAAGACAAGAAAGAAATACGGAAAAGGGGGCCAGTAACTCGCAAGATGAACATTTTACAAGAGACTCTTTAAGAGAGCGTCAAACATTTCTACTAGCTTTAGAGTGGAGAAAGGTCATATAGACTGTTATATGATCATCTCGAGCTGATACATGCGCGACGTTATTCATGTACACTTACTTCTTGATTTGGCAGAAAATTCGAAGCGATCTGAAATGGGTCACCTACGCGAAAAAAGACATGTACGACAATATGACAACGTGTCATTCACTAGTCATTATCAAAGTTTTTAAAACTTTAATTTACTGAATGATTAATGATTTACTGAATAATCATTATCGATTACGATCTTAAAAAACGTTCAAGCTTCTGTTTAAAAATAAAGAATCCGTTAACCCGGCACTCTTACCATTAGAAATTATATAATTCAAATGTATAGCAATTAATTAGCAGTTAACATAATTAATTGATTTAATTAATTAATTTATTGGGTACTTAATTGCTAATTTATTACGTCACAGTCCTGAATTTTTTTTCTGATATTAAAATAATAATATTACAAAGTATTTCAATTAATTGTATAAAATATTTCTTGATTTCATAATTTTCTTGAGAAAAGATAGCTTTAGAGTTGGATGACAACACACTTTGGATAATAAATGAATCACGAATTCATTAATCACCGTGCACTATTTCGGAAATAGAATATCTTCGCGAGAGAGTCTGTGGAAAATTGATTTTCTGTCCGAACATCCAATCCAATAATCGCATATCAATTTAATGTATTCCGCGGCGTTTCTATGATTCCACATTTTACCGAAAGACTACAAAGCCGATCGATACAATGTCGATTAGCGACTACTCGTCAGGCCCTATTATACCTGACGAATTGACCATTAGCGAGATTCCAAGAGATATCATCGACTATTACATGACGATGAAATACAAGACATGTCGAAAGTAGTTCTTTGTGCGAGTTTTACGTAAAAAATTTACGCACGGATAATAACTTGAAAAATCATTATGAAATCACCGTGTGCCGATTCATGTGCGAGAAGAAATCAATAAAATGACAGACAGGTGTCAAAATTTTTCAAGACTAAGAGAGAGGCAACGAGAAACGGAAAGAG